ACTGAGCACTGATCAGAGACAAGCTATGACCTGTGTAGATGTAAATCATTTCATAATGATTATTGCCATATCAATAGGAATCCCTAGTCTTTCATTTGCACCGCTTTATCAATCACCTGAACTCATTTAAACTAATATTCAGTTGCTTTTTGAGATGACTGGGTTTTTTAATTTAGAAGTAGTATTCATCACGGACTGACATCAGTTCGAGAAGCATTGAGAATCTGGAGCAGTGGACAGCTGTTTCGTCCTGGTATGGGACTCCTCGGCAATACCACCCACGACCCGGTTAGGGATCGAAATCTTTACTTTCAGGTTTCACGGAGAAATTGTTAACCATTCAGGGTGCATACTGCCAGGGAGTCCCATACTAGGACGAAATAGCTGTCCACTGCTCCCAGATTTTCAATGGTTCTCCAAATGATGTCAGTCCGTAATGAATACAACCTCTTGCATTCAGTTGTCTCAAATTCAACTACACTGTCAATCAAATATACGTCAGACCATGAAGTTTCATCAAAAATTCAGATTGTAAGAGAAATGAAGAAGAACAATAGAGCCAAAGTATTACTTCTCAATCACTGAAAGATACAAATCTTATGATAACTACACCAGTATCACCTTTATAAGCGTACTTTTAACAATTTCAGCATGCAAAGCCAGTCGGTATATAGCTGAACCTTGAGAAGAATGATTCTAGACAAGTCAGACAGGACGATGAATGTCTCAACCATAAATGTGTTCTTAGTATCAGGAACAATCGTTAGTTGTATCATATCCCATGACACTAGAACGGTTTATGTTTCCATCAGCCCTGAACACTTGTCACCGGTTGTGGAGTTAAAATTCACTACAGATTTGAAGAGGTGACTACTATCGTCTATCATGATCTTATGTGTAAACAATCATTCTTGATAAACAGGTTATCAACAGTAATGATGAATAGTAGCTAGCAGCGGATGTGGATTTCTTCTTGTTCGGGACACGTCAGCTGTATGTACCTGCCTCCCAGTGAGTGATGTACTAGGTTGTCAACAGTTTAAAATATTTCCAGATTAACAAAACTGTTAGTTACGTCAACTGGAGTAGTGTTTCATTGGTTTGAAGAGTTAATTTTCAACCAGTAGGTCATGGGGATTCAAGACCATTTGTTTTCACATGATTGCAGATTGTATTCCGATTCGATTTCTAACAGTTAAATCACAGGGTGTGCAAATGATTAGGGAACTAAGAATATGTTAACAAGTCGAAAGATTGATGTTTAACTGGTGTATTTAAAAATAAAAAGTGATTGCATCATATTTACTTTATAGGACTGACGTCCACCGCTGTCGTCTACTACTCACTGATATCATCCCAGTAAGCATTATACGCTGCATCATCTAGTCTTTGAGCAATTCCTTAAAACTGAACATTTCATTCTTCTTTACTTACTAGTTCTTAATTATTTTGGCCGAGAAAAAGAAACTAAAAAGAAGATGATAATTAATGAGACCATAGCTAAAAAGGAGGAGTACATGATAATTTCTCGGGATAGGCATCTAGAAAGTTGAGTGGAACACTATGAACAACAGTTCAATATTAAAGCCAAAAATGAATGAGATATTGACGTCGATTCACGTAATCTCCTCAAAAATGATATGACTAATTCAAACTGAAATGAAGCAAAGCACCATTAACTGACGGCTTGTCACCAGCAACTTATAGGAAAGAAGGTAATAAACTCATGAGTTGAATAACTAAGATGCTGATTAGTGTACCAAAAGTAGTTTAGTCGAACTGATGTCGATCAATGGTCATTTCCCTGTACAACGAGAAAGAGGGGTCTTCGTGTGACCACCACAGTAAAATCAGTTTGACGAACACTGTGTAATTGGAGCTGTAAAATAGCAAAAGAGTAAACCAGGGAGTTTCAAGACTGAAGGAAGGCGCATCGATTATAATTTTGTCATTCCATAGGTTTTGAATCACAGGAGCATTTACCAGCGCCGACACTTGCTATTTTTCTTGACCACAGGATGGCAGTCTATTTCATCGAACAAAAGATATTGTGGCAGTATCTAACAGTGAGTTGAGAACCAAGCGGGTATATTTTTCTGATCAGAGCTATCCAATATAACTCTAGGAGCTATGTAAGGGCTTATACAGAGTTGTCATCTAAAGTAAAACCACCTATTGTTACTCACCACAAATGCTCACTACCGTCATTTTCATCTAACTTTATTACAAATGTGGTAGTGGATATAGGCCTTGATACTTTCGACTTCTCATGGACTGACGTACTGCCTTGAACTTTGTTAGCTTCATGTACGTACACGGTATATTACTGATAGGTAAAGATAGCCACAAAATGTTGTCTCCTGTAAGCCTTGATCAAGAATCTGTGTACCGCTGATCTGCGTTTCGCACCTTTCAAATACAAGACGATAACTGACAGCTAACATTTACTGATTCCTGAGTTGACAATATTGAGTGAGCACTGAACATTTCACTTACATCAACCTGTTTGAGTTGATTGCTGATTATATATCGGCTAGAATACAAAAGATCCACTGTGTCCCCCGTCAGTGAGATTTCTGACTGCATGTCAAAGGACAAGTATATTCTATCCTATTATGTGGTTGTGAGAAATGCTCATTGCAAGTAGAAGATATGAAGAGGTTACAACTTTTGATTGTCAATATCTTTGTTACTATGGTGATATTGCCCGGATGTCCTCAGATTTGAGTTTAAGCAATATTGGGCCTAGATGTGCAGTACTAGTTAAGGAAGGTGAGTCAGTAGATGAGGTTGTGAAGCTTCACTAACTGAGGTGGCTTGGACGTGTGTCGCGCGTGCTAAGCTACCACACCTCTCGAGGTGTGGTATTAACTGAATTAGTACTGGGTCAGAAGAAGGCTAAGAGTCGCCATTTTTGTATATGGCGCCAATCCATGACGTCTTTGACTGCTGGTTTGAGCCGCGTAGAGAGGTGTAGATTGTTTGGCTGGAATCTTTGCGAAAAAAGACATGAATGGTTGGAAACGTTCAGTGATATGTCTTAAAATTGGTCACATTGGTGTATATGAGTGCACTCTTTGTCACCCTGAGGAATTTTATCATCTTCATTAACTTTCATCTATTTATTTCCCCTCTCTCGAGCACTTTTGCCAAGTTCTGTGATATTCTTTTTCCATTCACCTATGTTTTAGTTTCAATGCTGTCTCACTGTTATTGATAGTTCATTTCAACATCCTGTTTTCTTGGTTTATTTTTTTTACATTTTATGAATATGACAATCACAAAGCGGATATCTGTGCCTTGGTTTTATATTGTGTTATTTGTTTGGTGTTCTCGTTAACAAAATGATCTCTTGTAACGAAGCATAAATTATGAAACAGGCATACACTGTAAGGTTAAAAACTGTTGTTGATGTTGCATTTAGCCAACATGGTCTTTAGAACATAAACATACCGAATCAAATGTGATTCAAATAATACCACACTCAAGTTGCGGTATCTCTGTTTAGTTTTTGATTTTCCATGCTGAAAATTGAGACTATATATAAGATTATGGAAACGGAGCCATAAAACTTTTCTGGTAATCGATAGTTTGAATAATCTACGTAATTTTGTATATTTGCTCACATATAGACAATTCTGAAGTGAAAGTATAATAATTTACTCAGAATTCGTGTACTGTTATTTGTTTTGGAATGTGGTTTTCTGGCTTCTTAGTTTTGGTTTAATCAAAAAAGTAATAATTTAATCTGTTTTATGTGGCGAACCGACTCCATTTTGCAAAAAAGAAAATCAAATAACTGAAGTGAGCTGTACAGTAAAATGCCTTTCAAAAGTAGTACCGATGATAATCAATTCGAGGAAGTATTCTGAAATAGACTACTGATTGCTTTCTTAAGATTTATAGATCAGTTATAAATGAAATATATTTGTAAAATCCTACTGAGGTAGGAAGATAAATTTCTGACGTTTCGCAAACTCATGAAAATCGCCACTGAAGAAGCAGGTACATTCAGCTGATAAGTTCTAAATACGACGGAGGGCATTTTCAGAATTCACTGTTTTAATCTGGCTGTAAGTGGTTCTAAAATATATATTGTCTTTTGGACTGGTGATTCAATGAAGCCTCTAAGTTTTGAGCTTGGTAGTTCGAAGTGTTTGTGATTATGGATAATTCTAAAAGTTGTTAAACAGCCAATGTTGACTATTTGTTATGTGCTATGTCTGATGTAATTAGTTACTTCAGAGCGACGTTATATAAATCAAAATACTTAATTTTTCAGAATATTTAAACATAAAATGTATGAAGCTGGTGTATGATATTCATACACACTTTCTGATTGAATTATGAAACGTTTCCATATGTGATAGTAAAAAATATTTGGTTTTTTCATCGACTAACAAACATTAGAAAAGTTAAATGCTTATGAATCCTTTATATTTTGTTGCAGCTGTTATTGTAAAACTAATAAAGCAAATGATTTAAGTTCCGCTGTTGCTTTTCTAAATGAAAGTGATCATGCTTTGGTTATGAAACGATCTCGTTTACTATTGATATACGTTGCATTATGATTGCTCAGACGTTATAGTTCACATGTAAACCACAGGTACTCTCCTACTTCCTCTTGAAGGTTATAGGTTAGTTGTGACCTGTATTTTACTCATGCTGTTCAAAATTAGGCTAGAATATATCGCACACAGCTGAATATGCCAAAAAATTGTTTGCTGGACTACAAAGTTGGAATACTTATAATAATGTACTTATGGTGTTTAGAAATAGAACTTCGGTTTTGGTTGCTACATAACCAGCTCCTGTAATTCATTTGCATTGGTTTAAAACAACGATATGTGGGGAATGGATTTCGACAGTAGTTATTTAGAAATATTCTACTTTTTTTCATGCATCTAATCATCATTTTTAAATCATCTTATTTCATTTCATTTGTTATCTATCCTAAATTCTATTTCAAAGGGTAATTTTCAGTTATTTCTGATTTGAACATGTTACAGATCTGTCCAAATCCATGTAAACGAAAACCATGTCATTATACTGAACATGCAGTTAGAGGATCATGTAAACGTCTTGGATATCACAGAGATGATTATGAATGCTTATGTGAATCAGTAAGTGAAGTAAACCGTAATCGTAATGAATAAAATTTAAATTATACTGTGTATGAATACTTCACTCAGTTAACGGTTGAAAAGATGTTAAATGCAGACAGATCATCGTTGCAAAATTCCTAACAATGAAATATATATATACATATATATATATATATATATATATATATTCATCTATAAGTGTAAATATTATACACATTCTTCAAGCAAATACCAGGTAGATTATGATTACAAAAACTGAGAGGTGGCTATTAGAATAAGGTGCTCAACCTTCACATACCGTCAAAGCCTTCTTAAGAATTTTCAAAAATACTAACTTCGAAATGTAGTTTGGAGTAATCCACTTTCTAACTCATAATACGGCTCTTAGATTTAGTTCATTGATTTTCACTTGGTGAATAATAGTTTTGAGTCCCGTTTTATCATTTTTTGGCTTAGTAGTCAGGTTTTGTTAATAATCTGCACAAACGAGGAATGTGAGATGTTTCCCTGTGTGACACACCAAGTAAATCAAGTGCAATGGAATTGCATTCTACTATAATGCTTAAGTTTTTAGGAAAAAAGAAGTAAACCGTCAGTATTTTAAAAAAGTTTTAGATCTAAGTTTTAATCACTGTATATTTGATAATCATTTTAAGCCATTTATCTTGACTTCGAATTATATTTATCGTTGAAAAATAAGTGTGCGATGAACTTAATGACAGATAAGGTCTTAGGTTTGCTCTTTCAGAATTTATAATCCATGTTAAGACAAACAATTTCGGTGATGATTCGGTTTTTAGTGTTGTACAGTGTTGTGTAGCTTGAAGAATAACAGCTTACCTGTTTGTTTGTATTCGTGTTAAATTCTACAAAGGAGTATAATTTGTACAAGGAAATTATGTAGCTAAAGTAATAAAACTGTAAAATTGATTACTGTGCTCATTGAACGATCAATGAACAAGAATATAAATCTGTTTCCCGTAATTTCCAGTTGGTTTGATTCTTTATTTGTTATATCCGTTTACAAAACAAATGTCATAATCTTAGGGTTCTTGTATTTCCACTGGATAAAATAGATCTTTAACTGCTACTTTAAACTGGAGTGTAACTATTAATTGTGACTACTTTATGCGCTAGGCTGTGGCCCACTTATACTTTTCACCTGTGATACGGGCCTAAAATGATAGGGATATACGTTTCATTTAGGAGGAGGAATATAAAATGTTACTGTTTGATAATTATCAAGTTTTCTTCAAGCTTTGATGTTTGATCTTAAAAGTTTCGAACTAGTTAGAGCTTGATGATATCACCAAACATTATAATGAAATTGACACACCTTGTTACTAAAATTCAAGGGAAACTAAACAATTACTCAAAAATATTAGTTAGTTCAGCGCAGAAAATTATCTTTTTGATGAAACATTTACAGTAGTTATAGAAACGCACTTATAGTAATGACAAACAAACAAACAGGTGAGTCTATTATTGGCTAACAGGTGGACATTCGGTCATTAAAACGGAATGTTCTAGGGTGAAACAGTAGATCAATTCTTGAATAAGAAAGCTAGTGCGTAATCATAGTGAATGTAAGGGAATTATGCAGTCGATTTAGGTGATGACTAATAGGTCGAAATAATAATAATCGTAAAATTTTTTCAAATTAGTACCTTTATCTTTGACCTGTGATTACTCAGTCCCTTCCCTACTATAGAATCGACCCTCTATTTCACCCTAAAACATTCCGTCCACCATAAATGGGCATTTAATGCCCAGAATTTATGGTACTGTTAAGGTTCATAAACCAGGCCATCCCATTAGACCCATAGTTGACTTCAGAAATACCCCAACATGTGAGCTAGCAAAGCACTTAGCATCTCTATTGTGTCCTGTTAGGAATCGTTCGAATTCCAGACTGGTAGACTCTTACCAGTTAAAACTAAGGCTTAGTGACCTACATATAGAAGATGAAAAAATGGTCAGTTTCAATGTGACAAGTCTTTGTACTTAAATAACAATCCATATGGCAGGGGAGGCAGTCAGAAGTCAAGTAAGTACTGACTCGGAAACTACTCACGGAACCAAGATACCAGTTGATGAGATCACGCTAGGCGTCCAGTTGTGTCTAACCTTCACAGTCTTCAAATCTCAGGACAAAATATATTGACAAAAAGAAGAGGTAGCAACGGGATTGTCAGTATCCCCAATCGTAGCAGATCTATTCATGGATAGTTGGGAAAACATGGAGTTACAAACGTTTAATCCTGCGCCTAAGATATAGTGACGATATGTAGATGACACATTCACTGTATTGAAATTGGAACATATAGACACTTTCGAAACACATATAAACTCAGTGGTAAGCGCAATCCAATTCACTTACGAGTTGGAAAATGAACAAGGAGAATTAACTATGCTGGATTGCGGAATAAAACAAAGAACAGCTGGTGGTTTGCAGAAAATCAACACATTATAGCAGGTATCTAGACTTCAAGTCATCTCATCCAATGTCAGTTAAGACAGGTTTCGTCAAATTTCCAAATGACAGAGCTAGAAAACTGATTAGTCAGTGCGAAGACCCGAACAAGGAACTGGAGTTTATAAAAGAAGCACTAACAGTTAATAATTATCCTCCACAGTTTATTAAAAAATCCTCACAAACACATAAGAAACGAAATGATAACAATAACATGAGTATGAATAATAACGAAAACACAAGTAGGAGTTCACAGCCTCCATTGTGTTACTTTATAAGGAAGGTACACGAGAAACTTTACGTAGGCTCCTCAACAAAGCTGAAGTTGGGGTGGTATTTAAGCCTACAATCTCACTCAGAGATAAGCTTTGTCGGCTGGCTTAAGGATCCAATAGAACCAATTAGGCAAAATAATCTAATCTATCAAATTCCATGCAATGACTGTGAGGTCAAGTAAATTGGTCAGACTATCAGGTCGGGGGCAATTAAAATAGCCGAACATAGGAATCTAGCTAAATATGGAATGACAGACCTGAATAAGATTATTAATGCAGGAAAAACTCGGTTATTTCAATGCATGCATTAACACACAACCACACAATATGGTGGGAAAAAGTCACTGTACTTAAGTCTAATATAATTAGGTAGAGAGGGAGATTGACTACTGAATCTTTGTTCATCAAATCAACACTCAACACATGTAATAGAAATGACTCAACTCCTATGCCAGAGATATCGAAAATCTTGCTACCAATAAAAACAAAGAATATGAGTTGACATAACTATAAAAGCCAAATGTAGAAAGCAGTGTGATTACACTGATATGATTATGGGCAATAAATTATGCCTGAAACGTCATCAAGTAAATAATACTAGATCATTGCGTGTTATAAATCAAATGAATAAATCTGATATGAAATTAAATTCTACCACAATGCCCAAGTTTCACACTTATACTAATATTCACCTGTTAGCTAATAATAGACTTATTTATTTACAAGTTATTATCATGAATGTGATTGTACAGCTACTAAAAATGACTTATGGAAAAGAAAGTTCTCGCTGAATTAATTTGCTTAGTGAAATCTTTTTCTGACTTAAGCAGCTATTATCGTAGTTCTAAGCTAATCTTCATTATCTCTGAGTTTTCTATTTCCAAACGAACCTAGTTTACTGGAAAACCTCTTTTTAAAAATGTTTCAGGGATTTGAATGGAAAAAAGATTCACTGACCTGTGCACTAAGTGATACATGCAGTTCGTTATGTAATCCTGACACAACTGAATTCTGTTTTCTTAACAGAACATCAGGTATTTTAAAATTTATTGTGGTTAGAAGTCACTTTTATCTATTTTTAATCATCATTGAAGATTGTTTCTTGTTTCTTGTTAAGTGAAGAGCGTCAGATTAATTTCAACTCATTTTCGAAAAATTCATCACTTATACAAATCTCACTTTAAAATTATAAGTTTATTTGAAAATAGTTTAGAAAAGGTCTGAAAAATAAGGCTGAATCTCAACATCTATCAGACAGATGCACCTATGTCATCCGGGCAAGTTGTGATGCGACTTTCGTCATTATCTTGCAATAGTTGTAGGTATACTATTTATCCGAAGATTAATTATAATTGCACTATTACATCTGAAAACGAAAATGAACTATCTCATCGTCTTAAAAATACTTTTTTGAAGTGTGACAGAAGGTAGGGAACTCAGATCTGCGGTTTTTTAACCACCGTGTAACCCCTTTATACCAAAATGCCAAAATGAGATGTTGGAACACCTAGCAATTTGTTCCTTTTGGTATTAAGACCTGAATATCTTACTAGATAACTACCATTTGGTGAAATGTCATACTAAAAGTTACAAATCAGAAGTAAATTACTGTATAAATATATTGAATTACTATTTTATTTTAGTCCAGGTTTATTCCTCTATTTATCGCTCAAATGTGCGGAATTTTTAACAGCAGTCCTTTTTACATCGTAGGAACTTGGTGACACTAGTTTTTCAGTCAATCATTCATGTATAGTTCTGTCTCATCTTACATTTTTATTCACTTCGTACAGTGATCTTCATAAGTCATATTCTTTGTTTGTTTCACTGATTATTTTAAAAAACACATCATCCACTTAAAGTAGGATCTCTAGTTTCTAGCCATGTTTCCACTTTTTATGTAATATCAACCTTAATTCTTTGAAGACTTCATGAACTAATCAACTTATGTTGTATTTCTTCCATATAATCAGGTGCAGCTATATGCAGTTGTAAAACTGGTTATATGGGTTATGACTGCGGTCAACCGTTTGATGCATGCGTAACTGGTACTACATACAAAGTGAATCCGTTAGATGCTGGTCCTCATATTCCATCTGGATATGAAGCATGTGGAGTTATGTTAAGTCCATATAATGAATGTAATCCAATGAATCATATGCATACATTTAATTGTACTTGTGGTCCAGGATATACGAGAGATTTATCTCTGTGGTATGATAACTGTTTAAAACCAAAAGACATATGTGATGCTCATTTATGCATATATGGGGAGTGCGTCAGGTCAAAAGTGAGATTAACACAAGTGTTATTATTACTAGTCAAAATTGAGTATAGAATTTTAAACAGTTCTATTCGAAATAGTTAATGATTAGTAAACTACTATTCATTAACCTGTTGAGCCGGTATTTTCGTTTTATGAGGAAAATGATATCTGCTAGATAATTTAAAGGTTTTTTTTATAACTGGAAGTAGAACGCTAGGTAGCTATGCGTACGAGGATACTGAGACGAAGATACTAGGCATCTACTAAATTTCCTACGGGTGACGACTTTAAATCAACAGAACTATGAAACTGTTTTTATAGAAAAATCAACTCTGCAAGTTAGTCTAAAAAGTGTAGTTTTACCAATTATTAGCAGATGAATTTAACTGTTATGTATATGGACACTATAAAACTGCCTTGATGCAGCTTTTTGAGAACCATTATCAATTGATACGACTGAAATTTTAATTAAACCCATGCTTTCAAACTGAAAAAAGTAAAATGCGGGTGATATGGATAAACTATAGATATGGAAAAATTAAACAGCAGACTATTACAGAATATCACATTTAATCTGCTGCGTCTCACAGAAGTGTAGAAAGTTGGAAAGTATTATCTTGAAGTAATAGAAGAACATTACTGAAGAAGGATCGGTTGAAAGCAATGTTAAGAGATATTCAAGATTTATACGGCAATGAAGGTTGAATAAGTCTTCCATGTTGTCATCTAGGGTCTCCAAGTAGCTGTTCCTAACACTTTAAGAAATATTTTAGGAGGGCTGTATGAATTATACAAATGAGACTTCATGAGATCACGCCAATTCGCTCCCAGTGTTTCCTTATACCAATATTGCATATCAGCGTGGTCAGTGACTTGATATGTTTAACCCAAGATCTCAGCGTCTAGAAATTTCACTTTCTGGTTTGCCCATTCCAAACCCTAAGTGTTATGCTAGTATAATTTAACCAATGGTTCTACAACACACAAAAACTGTTTAGAAGATGCATTTGATAATGTTAGCAAATATTTTTCTGTTTATTTACTTGTATGTGAGAAATGCACAGTAGCATTAATGAAAACATAACAATTGAGAAGCTGTATGTTCCTAAGTATTATAGCATCAGTTATTTTGAACAACCCTATAATCTGTACGAGATGCCATACAGTGATCGGGATCCGAAAACCTACTTCTGTTGGTTATACTGTTGGAAACCGTTATAAATGGACATTCGGTGACTAGCCACGACAATTAAAGTAGAACCAGATCCTTCAAGCTCATGGTGTTTACCTCAGACTGCAAAAAAATATATGCTAAAAGTAGAGTACTACGACAAACAAATTACTGAGAAACGGAAAATATGTGGGTCGAAAATAATGAAATATTGAAGATTTTACGTTATTTGACTGATGATCATATCTTTGCACCAATAACGACTTCAGCTGATGTTATGTGATATTTTTAAAGAATGGTCAGTGCTACTGTTGATTTTCGACAGAATTAAGTATGAATATCCGTCTACATTAGCTTGATCATTTAAGATTTGCTATACATATATGAATTGTTTTATAAATGGACTTATTCCACCACAGAATGTTCAGTGCATTTAATAGAACGCACTCAACACTCTGAATATACGGTGCAAAAGAGACGAGAATTTTGAGTCCTTTTGATTCAAAAAGTTAAAAGTACCAACAATATATCCTACTTTTTCAGAACAGTATATGGTAATACACCTTAGTTGTAATACGAGTGAGTTAAATTGATACCAACTGAATCTACGCTTCGTAAATAACTTTTAATTATTCAACAGGTTGAAAAACTAGAGGAAACCTAAAAAGCTAACGTGAATTTGCATAACTAAATATAAAACTGTATAAATACACAAAACCGTTCTGATACTGTACGTAAACCAGTTGTTTATTTCGCTTGCTAGTGGTAATCAATCTGCATGTTTAACACTAGTCGACATCACTAATTTGTGCAACGAGTGTATCTAAAATGAAAACCTGATGACAGGAACATTTTTAAACTTATGTATTCATCTAATATCTCAATCAGTGATTATCAACATGGGAACTAGAATAACTGAACAACTAACCAAGTTGCCACATTTCGTAACAGAAAAATAGGAAACAGTGTAAACAAAGTGGCAGAAAGTCATAAGAAAAGAATAAGAAGGAGTAAAACAACCACCAATATGTGATTTGACAATTAGGATGAAGATAGTGCTTGGATACATCAAAATCTGAAAATAACTTGATCGCAAAATAACTTAGTATCAAAGTGATGCTCAGCCGACTCCAAGCTGGTGTGACTGGTATATAGCAGTTGCTCAGAATGTTTCTTCAGCCTTCTTAACTATTATATTCGTCATGTCCACATTAAAATGCTTGCCGGAATTCTGTTTATCACATCTTTTAGCCTTTACTAAAATTATGAATAATTTGTTGTTGGGTTTTTGGGTTCACTTAGTAGTGTCAGTAGTGTGTCCGTCATTTCTTGATTGTATTTGAAACATCCCTTAATATAGTATAACGGAAGGACAGCGAATAGCCACATAGAAACTAGGAATAGTCAGACGAGTATTTTATCCGACAACGCAGAACTACTAGAGACATTTATGAGTAGTATAAATTTTCCCGTTAACTTTGTTTCCAGCACACTACATTGTCCTGAATTTAGCCTAAAAACTGAGAATTTTCTACTGATAATTATGTCATGCATGTCTGGCAGACTACTTTCCCGTTCCAGACTCAGTCGTCAAATCCAATTCTGAATGGACAAGGTAAACACCGATATAATTTGCCGTATCATTTTACGGAGTCCTAATGTCGTTTGAGATCGATCAATAGACTAATTCATATAACAGATGGTTCAGTCGAAGAAACCAAAAAGTGTTTGAATTTCATCATCAGCATCATATGTACATACGTGCTGGGATTTGCTGGGACTTAGGTATTAATCAAAAATAGAGAAATGGAAATGGAAATTTTGAATTTTGTACTTACGTGCAGTAGATTCAATTTTTGTCAATTTACAACAATAGAGAATTAATATTATCGGAAGAATTTTGGTAAATATTATAATGAATAACGTAAATGAAAAGAAGATGGATGAATTTTACTAATAAGTAACCTTAAAACTAAGGCAAAGATGGACGAGGGTGGGTGGGGACACGATCGTCAAGCAGATCTATATGGGAATTTGTTACATCAAACCCTCAACGACTGATTCTTATTGTTTAGAAATTCCTAGCCACGAGGTTAAAATCCCTTCACACGGTTCAATCGAAATAAGAGAACCTTTCGGATAGGTCATTGTTTTATATCCTAACTAACTTATGCCTTATAAGACCCAATACTTATGCATGAAGCTCGAATTTCTTAATGGCAAAGAGAACTTTATTTCATGTGACCACTGAAAACTTCAATTTCATAAAAACGAAGTTCGTTGAAACGTAAGTTGAAGTTGTCCTTTTCTCCCTTAGTTTTTAATAAAGTACAAAATGTTTTAAAGGATCTCACTAAAATTGTCTGTGACTGTGAAGAAGGATATACTGGGGAAAAATGTGATATACCGAAAGGTGTGTGGTCAGTTTGGTCAGAATGGACTGTTTGTGAACCAGAATGCAGTGCAGTTAGATATCGTAGACGATTACGGATTTGTTTGTCTGAACACGAGGAAGACTGTGTTGGCGAGGTGGAACAGGTAATAAATTCTTTTTTACAAAAAAATATATATACAGGGATATGTAATTTTATTAAATACCAGTTAGGAAATTTTGTGCATTTTCCATGAAGCATTACTGTCATAAATAAAGTTAGAAATATGTGTGGATGCATGAATTAAATAGTGAAATTTTAGAAATCAGTAGTTTAAGAGCCTGACTTTAAGTTAGTGACAATGAATAGGCGCATTTGATTCTTATCTTTCTCTACACAATGTTTGTTTTTGTGTGATCTACTCATGTGCGTTTAATCAATGTAATTATGTTGCTTTGGCAATTTTCGGTGTTCCATATAAGATTTATTTATTTTTTGTAACAGGCAACGATGCATTATTATTCACCTGATGATGTTTCAAGTAAATAATGGTGTATCACTGAATATCAAATAAACGAGTTTAGTATAGAATTTCATTCTACAACAGTGCTCAGGGTTTCCGTATTAGTGAACAGTGTGTAACCAATACAACTTTGTGTGGCGTTTTGTCCTTTTCTTTATTACAAAATCATCATCAAATGGAATTTGAGAGTTTAGAGGCTTTCTTCGGAATACTTAAAGTGCCTAAAAGTAATATTATAGTGACATAGTGATATAATAATATTACGAGTAGCTTCTATGATACGTGGCAACTAAGGTATATCACACATCACTATTACGTATCGAAGCAATTAGTCTAGATTGAATTGTTCAACCTCCGTTAGCAGGTAAGCTCCTATGTGGACCCCTCAACACCGACCGTTTAGTCATCACGTTGTAGTCTGCTTGGTGGTTGATAGTGGAATCCAGGACGCGTGTTTCATCCCATTTAGGACTCGGCAGGTGGATATATATGCACCTCAGTGAGTGATGGTGTTCCTACTGGGACTCGAACCTCGTATCCATTGTTTCAAACGCCAAAGCCCTGTCTACTGAGCCACTTGAGAATAACACCCACCTCTTGTCCGACAAGTATCAGTTTCTTTTCGCGTTTGAAGCATGCATACTAGGTTCGGGTCTCTGTGGGAACACCACGACTCGCTGCCGAGTCCTAAATAGGATGAAACACTCATCCTGGATTCCACTACTAGCCGCCAAGCAGACTACAACTCATGACGTCATTTGTGAATATTCTGCATGTTTTGGTCAGTCAATATCAACAGTATAACAATTCAAGATGCCGTAGGTCATATTAAAACGTCAAGATACAGGGAAACAAGATAGATGTAGAATTAGGAAAAAGTGTAGTCATGGACTTAAAGAGTAGTAAAAAAAAGAAGAGGGATCAAAATAAACAACAAAATTTGATACTAAGATTGAGATGGTGATAACAGGTGGATGTCTGTGCCCATTTTGATCAATTCTGGTTCTCCAACCACTCATTATGGCTGTTATGCAGTCTCAACACGGAAGCTGACGTTTCCGCACTCTGCTTAGACAATTATTCAGACCTCATGGATTGGTACTACATTTTAGTCTGGCAGCATTTAATTTTTCCAACGTAAACCTATTTTATTGTCATCCCTTTAGTTTTCTTATTAAATCTGAACAATGCAAGAACAAATACATTCGCAGAATAAATTGATCGCATCTCATTTCAAGGTCGTTCATCAGCTGCGAACAGCCAACAATTGAAATGAAGTATCAGTAGTAATAGTTGCACAACGTACTTATTGATAATAATACTTAATAACATACTTATTTCAATGTATTTTGGAGTAAACGGTGGCTGGCGATGTGCAATATATGTACCAACTATCTGAGTCGAAGGTTCATAATTTCATCAATTAACTATCTAAAACTCAATACCTCACCTCTGCTTTACTGAGATAGTAGTTTCACAGCAAGGCATATACTACAGATGCAATGCGAACCGAACACTTGAAGTCTTCTTTCATCCTTCACAGTTAATGACCACATTTAACAGCACACAGTGGAATACAGTGAACTGAATAATCGAATCCCAGTAGGTAGTCACATATCCAGTCGGTGTAAAAGGCAGTGTGAGTTGGCACAAACGACTCAAGTCTTTCTTATCCGCTTAGAGATTTCTTCAGCTGCTGGTTAATCAGGGTCGATTCAACTTCTTAGCCAAGTCAAGTGTTCATGACACTTAACCATTTCTCTCCATTTTAGACAAGTGTTTAACATAGATCAATCCTTAGTCAAACTAACGTCATTTTTATCGACTGAGTATATTGTGCCAAAGTTTTATTTTTATAGTAAGCGAATAAAGGAACTATTAAGAGGATTTTAAATATTGTTTTTTATGATGAGGATATTTTCAGGAGGGTTATCGACGATAACTTGCGTGCATTGGCATTGAATTAAAAAGTATTACACGGACATTGTTCTGTATAACTTCGTTAAAAGTGATGTAGTGTTACTGGAACAAAAATACAAATGAACGTAGAACCTGGTGCTGAAGTGTAGCAGTTGAATTTGCCACACTTTACAGCAGTACACGAAGAAGGAGTGGATAAAAATGAATCACATCTAGGTAGAAGAATTATATGATCGGAAATAGAAACGATAAATGAAGGTTACTGAAAATACTCAAGGCTTCAAAGTTGATAAACAGTGTATGCATATGTACCAGTGTAACACATTTGGAGCCGCGCAACAGAGTTTCCATTCGTTTATTCTTAACACCTCGAGGACCCAAAACAGGAAGTCTACATCTTGGTTGTATTGTGTTCTCTGAGCTGGGTTGTTTAATCGTGAAGCTTTCATCGCCTTGCTAGACAACATCATCAGCAATAACTTCAGTATGAAGTGAACTGTCAATATCTCTCCGTGAGTGATTTAGTAGTTTGCTCTGACGATGTGGTCTGTGATTGGTTGACAGGAAAGTCAATACAATCAATGACACAACAATCGAAGGAATCAACCAATCACAGACCACATCGTCAGAGCAAGCTACTAAATCACTCACGGAGAGATATTGACAGTTCACTTCATACTGAAGTTATTGCTGATGATGTTGTCTAGCAAGGCGATGAAAGCTTCACGATTAAACAACCCAGCTCAGAGAACACAATACAACCAAGACCATCCACCTGAGCTACAAATATTCCCCATCATTTCAAGTCTACATCTCCACATACGGTTCAAGCCATTAGTTAAAAACTTGACTGATTGTTTTCATTACTTGCATTGATCTCCCGCAGCCTTTTTCTAAACAGAACACCGAAATATAGTGATGGGATTAGCAACAATGACTGCGTGTGCTTTGAAAATATCTTACTTTCGATACGTAATCTTATGAATTATAGGGATTTACTTATTTCCAAAGATTTAATATCTTTACATTTATTCAGTTAATTTACAGGTGTTGTCTACCTAACAAACTTGAAAAAACTCGAGAAATGAAATTCTGGAAGAAATGTTACTCTTTTAGCACACTAAAACTTAAGACCATGATGAAGTTCAGAAAAGATTTTATTCCTTTTAGTCGTTAAGAAGAACTCTTGTCCTGATTTCGAAATCTGCTGACAAACGACGTTTCGGCACACTTCATGTTTTACCTACAGAAGTAAAGTTGTTGATGGTGACGTATGCATTGCAGAGCAGGAGGATTTTTAGTCTCCTCCTTCATACGTCAAAGGTTATTTTAACAATTTTACTACCTTTAAAGTGCTTGTTTGAGTAAATTTGCCGATATATTCACTTATCAGTAAAATTGTAGCAGGTAATGATTGTCAGTAGCAGACTGTTACATATATGCTGTCCTCAGTGAATCAGACTTGAAAATCTCCCTAATATAAAACCTTCACTCAATAGTTCTCAAGTAGTTTTCTCAGAAAGAGGTCAACACCTATGGTAATGAGTATAGACTTGAGGATGCCTTGCAAACTTTTAGGCTTTATCTAATGAGTATTTTGCCTCACCTATTTTGATTGTACCGTCTGGTAATATCATTAGTCCTGAGACGTTAATTGTTACTTATAGCCTGGTAAATAAATACGTCAAAAACAAGATATTCAACGAAGAGGACTCTTTTCAACGAATTTATTCTCAAGCTGTATTTTCGTATATATATGATATTTAAAGACTGTAATCCATGAGGAAGATCTAATTTAAATAATGGAGGTTGGAATAGTAATAATTATAATTATCACCACCATTATTATTATTCCAACCCCCCATTGTTTGAGTTAAATCTTCCTCATAGATTATAGTCTTTAAATATCATATATATACGAAAGTACAGCTTGAGAATAAATTCGTTGAAAAGAGTCCTCTTCGCTGAATATCTTGTTTCTGATGTCACAATGGGAATTATGAACGTATTGGAATAAGTACGTACCGACTGTGGCGTTACAGTTAACCACAAGAATACTTAATTTTTCGTAGCGATATTAAAATGTAGATTAATAATGAAACTAAAAGTTTCCTTTAGTTGCCTTTTACTTACAAGTTGATCCTAATTTGTACCTTTTTAAAAGCGGTAAATATGATAATTTAAGGAAACTTCTCATGTTGTAAATGTTGAAAAAGAAGGTTAACAGTATTTCTGGCTAGCTACCTTCATGATGAACATTTATAGGTACATAAAAAACCACGTTTCTTATTCAAACGATAACGCTATCATATTTTCCACAGCATACAAATGTAATTTCATATGCAAACTAGATTTCATAGTTCTGGAAAGCTATAAGTTTTTATGATAGATAGCTTTGAAATCCTTCAGAAATAGTGATGAACCCTTATTTATGGATCAACTCAGCTACGCGTAAATAAGATACACAATCACTGATAATAGTGGAAGATGAGACGTTTCACATTATGAGTCGACTAAAATTAGTAAATAACGATATATACATGGCTTAACTGCAGAATGCTAATTTTAAAACTTCAAGGACCTAAGCCTATATTCAGAAATGTTTCTAGATGTACTATTTTCAGGATTTTAAAATTTCGTCTCATCCAACCATATAATGTATATTATTTCCCACTGTTTTCATGAACTGTCTTAATCTATGACTGATTTATATCCGGAAAGGAACAAGTGTATTTTGAACTCATACTTTTGCTCATAAGGAAGATACTAGTATTCTCATTCATTTATTCTTCTTAGGTACGATCATGTGGTAAAGACTTAAACTGTACACATGGTATATCAGTTGAAGAAATGACATGGAGAGATTTTACTCAATGGACCGAGAAAGTAATGCTATACACCTTAATTTATATTGGATGTGTAGCTATATTAATAACTGCAATTGGCATATTCAGACGTCATTACCCAGATCCACATAGTACATTTTCCCGTGTGCCAAGTTTAGTATATATTTCATCAGAGAAGTAACCATCACTATGTCTGCAAGAAGATAAAACTGTGGGTATGCCGTTAAGAATATATAAACAGACAGAAGGCAACTAAAAGAGGAAGACACTGAAAAAAATAATTACGAATATAAGAGTGATGGGGAAATGTTTTCTCATTTTGGCTTAAATAGTGTTTAACAGGTTTTCAAGCATTTTATTGATTTGAAGACATAAAGTCTATACGTTTTTGTTCCATTTTCAACAGGTTTTACAGTGTATAATAATGTTTTTTAAATAAACGAACTTCCTGTTTTCAAGTAGAATGTTTTGAGTTTGCTCTGACTGATGCACTTTAAGTTGTTGTTGGTTAGAGGAAGTGTAAATCTTGTTGCATAATAACTGGGACTGTCTGTCAAGAGTGCTGAAAAACCAACTGAGAGTTAAGGGCAAGGCAAGTGTACAATTTTCTCAAAACACTAAATTTCCACTTAAAAATATCCACTGCCCCATACACTTAAAAGTGTCAGTTCACTCAAAAAGAAAATGACTGGCTGTCATCACGAGCAGGTAGATTTTCCACATGGAAATATATTTTTAAAATCCTAATGAGGTAGAAAATAAATTTCTGACGTTTAGCGACCTTGTTGACGTCATCGGTTCAGAGAGTAAAACCCGTGCAAGTTATAGCATGTGTAAAAAGTAAGTGACAGCAAATAACATCATCTTATTCATACATGATAATCTGGGAGTAAGTTACAGTGTTATTAGTTATTAGTCCATGAGTTCAAAGTGAAGATGTAAATGTGCATGCATATCTGAATGCGTGTGACGGTGTGAGAAAAATACAACGGATAAAGAATTCAGTTTGCTTGTGTATATGTACTTTCAATTGTGACTAGTGTATGTAAGGTGCATGGACATGGTTTTCAAGTGGTTAGATATTCAAGAATTCCTTTCTGTTGGGTGCATTAGGATTCAAAACAATATGAAATCTCCCAGCTATCCGTTTTTCCTTATAGTTTGAAAAATCTTTGAATAATTTTAATATTTTTCATGTCAATTTTGTGACTGTGATAGATAGGATGAACAGCAATCGTCTACTTGATTTGTAAATTCTCTAGTTCTACAGGATTGTTTAGAGGTTGTTTTCTGTAACTTGGATGGTCTTTAGCACGAATAAGGATCTTACGCGACCATTCCCCAATATAATATGCATCACAATTGATGCAACCTAAACTTTAGACAAATTTCTGGAACAAGGCACCGACTATAGAACCTGTAATCGAAAAACTACCAGGTAAAGAGTCTCATATCTTACATCAGGAAGCATCTCACATCCTACCAGAAATAGCACGTCACATTATTATTTATTATTATTTGTCCCTTGGGTTTCTAGTAAACATAGGGCTTCAGTAGCATATCGCCATTCCACTCTGTTCTCTGCAGTCTCTTCAACCTGGCTACACGACTGCCCACAAGCTTTCTCATCTTCCTCACATAATCTCCTCCATGTCATCCCCTCGGACGCCAAACTAATCGTTTCCCATCTGGATTCCACTAAAGGGCTAGGTGCGTGATGCCCCAAAACGGCCTTCTCAGTGTATGCCCAATTCAATCCATCTCCACTTTCTTCTGCATATTTGTTAGGTAATAGGTTCTTGGTTGGTTCATTGCCAGGCCAGAGTTACTTCTTGCTTATACTTATTATTCTGACCATCTGATATCAGTATCCAGTGAGCGTGGGTGACAGCTGTTGATGAATGTCTGTAGTTGGTTGGAAGTGCTTTTCGTGACACGTCAAGTTTCTGAACCATATGGAAGTACTGACCTGACCGAGATTAGTGTTGAAAATCCGGATCTTGTTCTTTGCACCAAGTAGAATGGAGTAGATCTCCACAATGATTTCAGATTAATGAAGACCTGTCTTCCTTTCCCGATCTTGGCTTTGACATCCTCATCTGTGCTGCCCTCTGCAGTTGAAACGATGCTGCCTAGGTAGGTGTAGGTGAAAAGGACTACTTCCTTTGGGTTTCCCCCGTTAATGGCGATAAGTGCCTCTTGTTGTTGATGCTGTTGTTGGTTGAGTATCTTCATCACCTCCATCTTCTCTACGTTCACCTGAAGGAAGTCCCATCTTGCTGTCTCGCCTCCTCTGCCAAATTGTTAATTTTCGCCTGTAGATATTTCAGTTTGTTCGACATGAGATACAAATCATCGGTGAAATCCAGATATTCTCCTGAGGTCTTTTCATCGGTCCAGGCAGCATATGCTCGTCTTCTCTCTCCTCATGGTTTGCTGCATGATTCAGTTCAGTAGAGTCGATCACAAACAGGAAGATCAATCATTGGTGATAGTAGGCGTAACCTTGTCTCACTCCCATCTTCACTTCAAAGGCACCACTGAGCTTCCCATTGTGAATCACTTGGCATGTGGCGTCGTCAAATAGTTGTTGAATGGGGATGATAAAGGTTTGTGGTATTCCGTAGTATAGAAGCAGCTGCCTGCCAAATAACTTGTCGGTCGACGCTGCTGAAGGTCTTTTGAAAATCGATGAAGTTGAGGTAGAGACTTGACTGCCATTCTATCCTCTATTCAGTGATGATTCGTAGCGTTGCGTTGCGATTTGATCCACATATGATTTGTTCTTCCTGAAGGACTTCAACTTTTGTTGGATTGCATTTGTTCACTGATAGTTCGGCCGTTTCTGATGGTATTTCTGGATGAGTTGCAGATGGTGGTGGTAGCCGATTCAAGAGTTTTTTGAAGTGGTCAGCCCATCGTTTCTTTTGTTTTTCCACCCTCTTTGCTAACTACCTTTCCTTCACTATCTTTCATTGGTTTCGTCTGGGTTGATCTCTACCCACTCCGATAGTAACTTGGTTATTTGATACAGTGCTGTCAGGTCTCTCCTACCTTCAGCCTGTTCCGCTTCACTTGCAAGTGTGTCTTTCCGTGAACTCTTCTTCACTTCTCCGTCGAGTGTAGTGTTTTATAGGTTGTGTTCAGTTCCTTTCTCGTTATTCATCCCTGCACTGCATTGATTCATCTCCCGCTTCACCATCTTCCTCTTCCTGCTCTATGAGCTTCCATGTCTCCATCGAGATCCATTCCCTGTCCTGTTTTTTCTTCCCTCATAACACGGTTTTACAGGTCTCCTTCCACACCGCTTTCAAAGAGTCCCAGTGCTCTTCCACGCAGGTTCTTTCAGGGATGTTGGTCAATGTCTCCCATTTTGTCCTGATGGTTGACTGACGTGAAGATATCCCTTTTAGTTTCGTCCCTCAGTTCAGTTTCTGTTCTGGGTGGTTGTTCAGCTTGAACTGTGTTCTATCACCAACTTCCTTGAATTGAGGGCTTTCGAAGGTAGGTTCTTTGCACTAGATGGATAGTGAGTGGTGTGAACCACCCACATCTGCTCCCCTTCTTGACCTGGTCTTGTGACCAGTGGGCTGCGTCCCCATTTCCTTCATATCGAGATCAAGTCGGCTTGATTTTCAGTGTAGTATGTCCTGGTGTCTGGTGAAATCCATGTCACTGCCTTGTGAATATCCTTGTGTTTGTACACACTGCCTCAAATCACTAGATCAATGAAGGCGCGGAAATCTGCAAACAGTTCTCCATTTGCATTCATTTCACCGAGTGCCTCTCGACCCATGATGAGTCCTCTTCCAGTGTTGTCTGCTCCCACTTTGACATTCATGTCACCCCTCCCATTAGAACTTTGATGTCGCCAACTGGGATGGAATCTTGTCCAGTGTTGGTTGCAGTTGTCTGTAGAATTCCTCCTTCTTCTCTTCATCTGAATTATCTGTAGGTGCACAGCGTAGCATTGTGCGATTACAACTTTCCTTGGTACTGAGTTGAATCTTGTTGTCATGATCCTGATCCTACGGGAGGAAATTGGTTCCTACTGTATGAGAGCCTTCGGTGCTCTTCGGGACATCACGATAGACATTCCAAAACTCAGTGCTTGTGCTTGTCGTCCGGGTGACAACATCGGAGTAGAATATTGACTCTCCAGTTGATAGTTTGGAGAGTCACTTCCATTCCATTTGGTTTCGCAAATTCCAAGCACTTCTATGCTATACCTTCTCATCTCTTTTGCAATCTGGGCAGCCTTGCTAGGTTCACACATGGTGCGGACATTCCATATCCTTTTGGTTTCGTCGAGAGAGAGGACACATCGGCCAATTGGCTTCCCGAAGGCTTTCACTAACTGGCGACATTTCGTCTCTCCGATTCCAGCGATGAATAAGTTTATTTTCATTTTTTATATTTTGTTTGTGCTTTGAAGTTTCTTTAGCGGTTGGATTGGTTTTCCGGGTATGGTTGCTAGCCCTATACCCAAGGTTCACTCTTTATGCGGGTTAAAACCGGCTAGTAACCAGTGGATTAGTTAACCAGGCGTGGTTAGCACATCACATACACTATCAAAATTAAAGTACATATAAACAAGCAAAGTGAATTATTTATCCATAGTATTTTTCTTGCTCTTGTCTCCCTGTGACTTCTGCTTACGCCTCCACTGACTACAGCCCGGACGCAGGGAATGATGAGTCCTACTTCAATACTTGTGGTCTGCAAATAAAGTCAAACGCTAAGACGTGATTGTCATCGCAGGTGTTTTCAATACACAAGTGGGTATGCTAAGTCAGGCGGAAAGGTATTTAGACGGTAATTTTTGAATTCTAGCCGAAAGAATAGATAACGGTGATCACCAGCTGTAACTGTACTCTGAACAACACTTATTTCTGGCTAAAACGAACTCATGACATAAAGAGAGACATCGTATGACTTGACGTCTTTAACCTCAACTCAACGGTGGACACATATCATATTACTATAAGTAAGCTGCCTTGCTTAATTCCTTGGAGTAATATAAATCAGTCTATGCAGATTTTCAGCGGTATCGTTCAAAACTGGTGACCATCGGGCTAATATAAACATTCTGTCAACTTTAATGTTTAGGACATTTATTTATGCCTCCACAAACTTCTTGGTGTAAACGCAATATTTCCATCAGCTGTAATATGTGACTAA